CCCCACCGAGGCATATCTCCATTTTAGCATCTGGCTGTTTCAGTCCTTGATTAAGATTTCTTTCAAAGGAATTTTTAAGACTTCTTCTGTCAATAAATTACCCCTGTCATCCCTTTGAGATTGCCCAGACTCCCTCCACCGCTCTCTGCCTTCTTTTATATATATCTTAATCTCTTGCTCAATCTTCCCTTTACTCCCGGCCTCTCTTTTTGTTATTTTGTTTTTACAATACTCTCCATCATTTTCCAGTTGCCTCTCTCCTTGCACCCCACCTCGCCAGGCCCCCGGTTCCCTGACGCCTCCCTGTTCGTGCTGGAAGCCCAGCCTTGGGCACTCGCTCCTGTATTCCACGCTTAAATTTTGCTTCCACATGTAGGTCTTATAAGCAGGACCAGCTACGTAATTTGCAGGGCTCGGCGCAAAATGAAAATTCAGGGCCCCCGTATTCAAAAAAGATTAAGATTTTCAGGATGGTAACGCAAAGCATTGATTAGACCAAGTGCAGGGACCTTCTGGGCACTGGGCCATGTGTGACTGCATGAGTCTCTGGTGCTCAAAGCTGGCCCTGTTTGCAATGTGTTTTGCTTTAGTTTATTGTTTATTCACCGTTCTCTGAACACTTCCAATTTTGCTTCTGTTGTCCTGACCTGCTACTTTAAGTTCCTTGATTTTGCCCAACATAGTCAGCATATTTACAGTAACCAAATAAGACATTCTGTTTTAATTATTGTTTCTTTTCACCATCTTTTTTTTTTGCTGATCTGGAAAAGTGGCACGAGACTCCATTCTAGGCCCAGCTGCCTGAAAGTTGATGCTTGGGTGTTCCTGCTATTCAGAGCCCAAGAAAGCTGTGCTGTGAGGCTAAAATGGCACGAGGAGGTGCCTCCCCTAGAGAAGATGTGGTGGAGAATCGGTTAAGTCCCCCGGGCAAGCATACCATCAAGATCAGCCAGGTAACCTGCATTACTCCGTGAGTGGCTCACAGTAAGCATTCAATAAGCAAGAACCAGTATTATTTCCATGTTGGTTCCAGCTGAGAGCCCAGATGCTGTCATAATGCAGAAGCACAGTTCTAGCTCAATAAGTTTCCCTCCAGATTTAAGGGCTCTTCTGCCCTTAAGGCCGGCAGGCCCACCACCTGGTTGCCACCCACTGCTGAGAGTCATTGTCTCACATATCTCCCGCCCGTCCTGCCCCCCAGGGTCCAGCCACCTACTTGTTGGTCTGCCTCTGGTGCTGGATCACCATGTTTTTCTCATGGATTGTCTCCAACAGGGCTGTTGCCAGAGATTTCAGATCAGAAATGGACTGCGGAGTAGCTGGGAGGCTGCACCCGTGATCCTCAGATAACAGATCCTGAACTGGGTGGGATATAAAATTTACAACTCAGTCTTAAATCCTTCTGGAACGTTGGAATGCAAACCAATGTCAGTTCTTCCTGGATAATGAAGCTGGGATCAGTTCCCCGGCTTCCACACGCCACTGTGTTGTAATTGAAGAGTCCACTTCAAGTGTCAAAAGTGAAAAAAAATAAAATTTAGTGTGAGGGTTAAACAGAAAGGAGGAAGTACTCATGGACTTTTAGCAACACCTTTTATTTAAAGGATAATAATTTTTTGCATTTGTCCAGTATTTTATGCTTTCGAAACACTCATGCTAACTCATTTGAGGCTTCAAATTTTAAAAAGAACCTGGAAAATGTTATTTATTCCCATTTCATGGACAGAAAAGCAAGGTGCTGATGGATTAAAAACATTAGCTGAAGGTCACACAGCAATACAAATGCAAATGACTCTAGTCCTGAGCTCCTGGCTTTATATCACAGCTTCCCACAGTACCCTTGGTGGGTGGTAAGATAATGTAGGAGATTATTTAGAACACAAAATATATTTTGTATATGCATGCTTTTAGAAACTAAGAGATAACCCCAAAAGACCACAACCACTTGTATTCCTATGAGACAGAAAAAAGAAGAAATAATATAAATCTCTCATTATATATCTTTGAACACCATTTCCTATATGCCTATATGTAGACACACAAATTCACACATTTCTCTCCAAAAATGGGAAAAAGCTCTGCTTTTTTCACTTAACCTTATGTCTCATCATGAATATCTACTAAAATATAAAATGTAACGGCTGCTTAGTAGTCCATGCATAGATCTACAGTAATTTATTTAATTACTCCTGGACAATTATGTTGTTTCCAATGTTTTTTATTGTAACTAATGTAGGAAGAACTTTCTTGAAGCAAAATGCTTGCATATGTCTGTAATCATTTCTTGTTGGCTCAAAGGGGATCAGTTTAAGGCTTTTTATAACAGAGAACCAAATGGTTCTCTAGAAAGGTTGTGCCTGGTCGACTGCTCTGCCAGCGTGTTGGAGTGTGCCTAGCGTTCCCCAGGTCGGTGACAGGACTGGGTCTCAACATTCAAACGTCCAACATTCAAAGGCTATCAAGGATATTCAGAGCTGTACTTAGAAGGGCTACTTCACGTTTGTATAGAGGGTGTCCTTTTCTAGTTGAGTGAAAAAAAAAAAAAGAAAAAAAGTTGCTTGGAAAAGTGCCTTGATTATTAGGTAGTCTGGAGATTCAGCATTTTTTTTTAAACCCCCGTAGCTCTGATGAGGACTGCCACGTGATCCTTGCTGGTCTGCACTGCCAACAAGCCCAAAGCAGGCCAGTCCAGCACGGTCCACTTGAGGATCGTGTTTAGAACTGAATTCCCAAATATTAAGTGTCAGAAGCAAGCTCTCTGCTATTTATTTCCCCTGACTGTTCCTGGAAGATCATTATTTTTCATTGGAATCGACAAGAAGGAGGAACAAAATTGCAATCAATAAAAGCTTCTTTAGGGCTTCCCTGGTGGCACAGTGGTTGAGAGTCTGCCTGCCGATGCAGGGGACATGGGTTCGTGCCCCCATCTGGGAGGATCCCACATGCCGCGGAGCGGCTGCGCCCGTGAGCCGTGGCCGCTGAGCCTGCGCGTCCGGAGCCTGTGCTCCACAACGGGAGAGGCCACAGCAGTGAGAGGCCCGCGTACCGCAAAAAAAATAAAAATAACCAAAAGCTTCTTTGAAAAAGGCACATGTGCCATGGTAAAATGACTTCAGCAGCTGTGAGACTTTTCTAGTCTGATCATAGAGGCCAGGAAAAGGGGAAACTCAATGAGGATGGAACGGACACTTGGAGATGCTAACCTGGTGATTACAGAAGGGAAAACATTCTGGAAAGAGGAGCATAGTTAGGGGAACAGATGCAAATGGGGTCCAGTCATTAGAGAGACCTCTAATGCAGTGGCTCTCAAAGCAGGGTCCCCGAACCAGCATCAGCATTATCTGGGAACTTTTTAGAAATGCATATTCTCCGGGCTCACCCTAGACCTAGTAAATCAGAAACTCTTGAGGTGGGACCCAGTAATCTGTGTGTTAATAAGCCCTCCAGGCAATCCTGATGCAGGTGGAAGTTTGGGGGTGACTGCTCTAAGGATCACTTCCATTCCCAATTCAAAAAACGAGATGTGGACCCACAGTGCTAGCATTCTGTGATCATAGGTGGTCCCTCCCAGAAAATGACCCCTACCTTGCTTTGCAGACAGGACTCCAGTCAGAGCACTGCTGCTGGATTTACCCTGGCCTTTTGAGTTTTTCCGTCTCTCAAGAGCATTCTAAAGCAGCATTGGGAGAAAACAAAAACCTCTGTCAGAAAAGCCAATAATGGAAAAATACCTAATTCCGGTAGATGCATCCTCCCATCCAGCACACAAGAACTCCTTACAAACTCCAAATGCTAGCCCAACTTTTAAAATTCAGAGTCCCTGCCAGAGAGTTATGATTTTTATGGACCTGGTAAAGAGTTTTGTTTTTTTCTTTTTAAGTTGGTGCCCAGCAGAATTACAGCAATTATATCCTCCTATATATAGAAGGTACTCAATGCATATTCGTTAAATTAAATCAAATCTGAAGCAAGAACTCAGTCTAATGTGTGAAGTCACTAGTTATGGAAACCCCTTCCAAACAGACATGAGATGGAGACTAGGTTTACTTTCATGGAGCAATGCCAAAAGATCATTAGTGGTGTCTGGAAGGTTTCTGTGGCTGGACTGGAAGAAAAGCCATGATTGATTAATGAAATCTGCCATGGACTCAAGGTTAAGGAAGTGCATATGTGTCATTCCTAGAACAGAACGTTACATTAAAATTGATATGTGCTATACAGCCAGTGCTTGGCACATAGAAGAACTGAATAAATGTTGTTAAGTGAATGCATATACACATTTTTTAAATTATGTATTAATTATACAACTTTAAGAGCTGTATTCTTCTTTGGCTGTGTGTGTATATATAGATGGGTGTAAACTCAAGTGGGGCCCCCCCGCCCCAGATTGGAAAAGGAGGAACAGCATGGAGACTTCTGAGAAAAAAGTGAACGTCAAAAGGCAGGAATATGAGATGGCTGCCCCAGCATAGAGACGGCTGTAAAACTTCACCCTCAGGAAGAGAAATCAATCTATTTTCAAAGCAGAGAAACCCAGGAGATTTTGCTAATTATAACACTTACAACTAACATCTGCAGAAACAGATATTATCTAACTAATGGCACTGGAATTAGACTAAATAACAGTGGGGAGAATTTAAACATTCTGTCCTTTTAGTGTGAAGTGAACATTATCGTTTAGATTGTGATTTCCCAGTCTTTGTTTCTTCATTGCTCAGAAATCATTTTCTTATGGATGATTAGGAGACAAAGAACATCTGATGACAGAACACTTTATAGAAAAGCTGGATAGGCAACCTAATTTAATATAGACCGAGGCTGTATAGTGGTCACATCCAGATTCTGGTGGTCTCAGTGTGCCCTGTCCAGATAACAGAAGGAGCTCTTACAAAACCTGTTTTTGTTGTGTTTGCCATTTGGGGTTTAATTCTTACTGGTTCCTCAGTTAAAGCTCTTATTGAACTATCGGGGAGGGCAGGCAAGCACTAGAGTATCTTGGGCACACAAAACGGAATTAAAATAGAATGACACTTAGATGTACAATAGTGAATCATCACCGTCACTGTCATGATTTTCTACCTTGTATTTGGCAATGTTAGATTTCAAGAGGTTGACCTCTTCATGAAGTTGCTTTAATCTCTCTTGAAGGTACCTGAAAAAGAATATATACAACTAGGAAGAGTCTGGAGGCAAAATAAAAAACATACACTCAAGTAGGAGAGGATAAAAAGAAAACCACACACCCAAAGAGCCACCTTTTACCTACAGTGCCTCCCCACCACCGAAAGCCGAAAAAGTGCACCTTGGTGACCTCTTCTTAAATGGATGTGATCAAGGTCAAGTACGCCCAAATCACTGAAACCTCACTTGAGGACAGCCCTCTGCAGAGATCCCCTAAGGGATATCAACACAGTTTTCACATAATTCTCATTAAGATGATTCCACTGGGAAGCAAGGCAGCAAGAGGCAATACCAGACACAGCATTAAGTTAGTCACATACACACACTGAAATTTGCCTCTGGGAAAAGAGACAGCTAAGGGAATTTCTCAATTTATTTTCTTATTCTTTTCTGTCTTCTTGATAGCAATAATAAGCAGCTTTCACTGGTTCCATACCCTTCTCACCCAACCGGGGAGGGCAGGGGGAAAGAGGGTATGGATGTAGGCGTGTAAGCATGTGGTTTTTCTTTTCTTACTGCTACAACTAACGTGTGACATTAATATCATTGTTTTAGGGTTGAGACTTTCCTTTCACTGTAAGGCTGTTTTCTTAAATGTAAATAGGGTTGCAAATAACTCCCAGGCTGCAGGCAAGTGGAGAGCCAGCATCCTACCCCAGTGCGAGCCTGGGACTGCTCACTTACCTGTTCTCCATACACAGGGCATCCACGTCAATGATTCGGTTCTCATGGCCGCTCAGGATGTGGTTTAGCTCCTGGTTGAGCCTCTCGACTTTGTCCTGGTAGGATGACCGCTCTTTTTTTACCTCCTGAAGC